GTGCCACGCTTGCTAGGTTTGCGCCAGTGTCGTGGATAGCGGCCGAGCTGAGAGACCACCCCCTGCGCACCCCGTGTGGTGTCGCGAAAGTGCCACGCCTGCTAGCCTTTGCGCCAGTGTCGTGGATAGCGGCCGAGCTGAGAGACCACCCCCTGCGCACCCCGTGTGGTGTCGAGAAAGTGCCACGCCTGCTAGGCTTTGCGCCAGTGTCGTGGATAGCGGCCGAGCTGAGAGACCACCCCCTGCGCACCCCCTGTGGTGTCGAGAGAGTGCCACGTCTGCTAGGCGTTGCGCCAGTGTCGTGGATAGCGGCCGAGCTGAGAGACCACCCCCTGCGCACCCCCTGTGGTGTCGAGAAAGTGCCACGCCTGCTAGGCGATGCGCCAGTGTCGTGGATAGCGGCCGGGCTGAGAGACCACCCCCTGCGCACCTCGTGTGGTGTCGAGAAAGTGCCACGCCTGCTAGGCTTTGCGCCAGTGTCGTGGATAGCGGCCGAACTGAGAGACCACCCCCTGCGCATCCCCTGTGGTGTCGAGAAAGTGCTACGCCTGCTAGCCTTTGCGCCAGTGTCGTGGATAGCGACCGAGCTGAAAGACCACCCCCTGCGCACCCCGTGTGGTGTCGAGAGAGTGCCACGCCTGCTAGGCTTTGCGCCAGTGTCGTGGCGGCCGAGCTGGGAGACCACCCCCTGCCCACCTCCTTTGGTTGTTCGAGAAAGTGACGCCTGTAGGCCTTTGCGCCAGTGTTAGTGGATAGGGCAGAGCTGAGAGACCACCCCCTGCGCACCCCCTGTGGTGTCGCGAAAGTGCCACGCCTGCTAGGCTTTGCGTCAGTGTCGTGGATAGCGGCCGAGCTGAGAAACCACCCCCTGCGCACCCCCTGTGGTGTCGCGAAAGTGCAACGCCTGCTAGGCTTTGCGCCAGTGTCGTTGATAGCGGCCGAGCTGAGAGACTACCCCCTGCGCACCTCGTGTGGTGTCGAGAAAGTGCCACGCCTGCTAGGCTTTGCGCCAGTGTCGTGGATAGCGGCCGAGCTGAGAGACCACCCCCTGCGCACCCCGTGTGGTGTCGAGAAGGTGCCACGCCTGCTAGGCTTTGCGCCAGTGTCGTGGATAGCGGCCGAGCTGAGAGGCCACCCCCATGCGCACCCCCTGTGGTGTCGCGAAATGTGTCACGCCTTGCTTGCCTTTTGCGCCAGTGTCGTGGATTTTAGCGGCCGAGTGAAGAGGACACCCCCTGTCGCACCCCCCCATGTGTGTCGAGAAAGTTGCCACGCCTACTAGCCTTTGGCCAGTGTTCGTGGGGATAGCGGGCAAGCTCAGAGACCACCCCCTGCGCACCCCTTGTAGGGGGGGCCAAAATGCCACGCTCTGCTCGCCTTTGCGCCAGTGTCGTGGATAGAGGCGAGCTGAGGAGACACCCCTGCGCACCCCCTGTGGTAGTCGATGAGAGTGCCACACCTGCTAGGCTTTGCGCCAGTGTGTGGGGAGATAGCGGCCGAGCTGAGAGACCACCCCCTGCGCACCCCCTGTGGTGTCGAGAAAGTGCCACGCCTGCTATACTTTGCGACAGTGTCGTGGATAGCGACCGAGCTGAGAGACCACCCCCTGCGCACCCCCTGTGGTGTCGAGAAAGTGCCACGCCTGCTAGGCTTTGCGCCAGTGTCGTGGATAGCGGCCGAGCTGAGAGACCACCCCCTGCGCACCCCCTGTGGTGTCGAGAAAGTGCCACGCCTGCTAGCCTTTGCGCCAGTGTCGTGGATAGCGGCCGAGCTGAGAGACCACCCCCTGCGCACCCCCTGCGGTGCCGAGAGAGTGCCACGCCTGCTAGGCTTTGCGCCAGTGTCGTGGATAGCGGCCGAGCTGGGAGACCACCCCCTGCCCACCCCCTGTGGCGTCGAGAAAGTGCCACGCCTGCGAGCCTTTGCGCCAGTGTCGTGGATAGCGGCCGAGCTGAGAGACCACCCCCTGCGCACCCCCTGTGGTGTCGAGAAAGTGCCACGCCTGCTAGGCTTTGCGCCAGTGTCGTGGATAGCGGCCGAGCTGAGAGACCACCCCCTGCGCACCCCCTGTGGTGTCGAGAAAGTGCCACGCCTGCTAGGCTTTGCGCCAGTGTCGTGGATAGCGGCCGAGCTGAGAGACCACCTCCTGCCCATCCCCTTTGGTGTCGAGAAAGTGCCACGCCTGCTAGGCTTTGCGCCAGTGTCGTGGATAGGGACCGCGGTGAGAGACCACCCCCTGCGCACCCCCTGTGGTGTCGAGAAAGTGCCACGCCTGCTAGGCTTTGCGCCAGTGTCGTGGATAGCGGCCGAGCTGAGAGACCACCCCTGCGCACCCCCTGTGGTGTCGAGAAAGTACCACGCCTGCTAGGCTTTGCGCCAGTGTCGTGGATAGCGGCCGAGCTGAGAAACCACCCCCTGCCCACCCCCTTTGGTGTCGAGAGAGTGCCACGCCTGCTAGGCTTTGCGCCAGTGTCGTGGATAGCGGCCGAGCTGAGAGACCAACCCCTGCGCACCCCCTGTGGTGTCGAGAAAGTGCCACGAGCTGTGCTGTGCTGTGCTGAGCTGCGCTCAGCCGTGTTGGGCTGGGCTGTGCTGAGCTGTGCTGAGCTGTGCTGTGTGCTGAGCTGAGCTGAGCTGCGTGCTGTGCTGTGCTGTGCTGTGCTGTGATGTGCTGTGCTGTGCTGAGCTGTGCTGTACGAAGAGTGAGGTGTGTGTCGCGGGTGCGGCGCGGCAGGGAAGAAAACCAGAACCCCACTAAGCATGTGGGGAAAAACGACTCAGAACGAAAAGCCGGTCCTGGGGAATGGTTCCAGACCTTTGGGGGTCGACGTCATGAAAAAATCATGACGTCGGGGGTCTGGGGCCGGCCGCTGGCCGGCGCTGCCCCCCTCGGCGCCAGCGCCGGCGCCAGCCGCTGCTCGGCCGCCGGCACGGGCTTCGTGGCGCGGGCGCGGCCGTGTCGCGGCGCGGCGCTGCCCATGGCCGCGTGGCTTTCGCCGTCGGGGCCCTCGCCGCAGTGGCCGGATTCGCCTCGGCAGTCTGCTCCGGGCGCCCCCCGGGGGAGGGCCGGGGAGGAATCGGGCCGGACGAAAGGGGGGGGGATAGGGAAAGGGGGGGGGTCGGAATTGGATACCTGCTGCTGGTCTGACACGCCTAGCAGCGTAGCTACGCTTTCTCCCCCCCGAGCGCCGATTCTCCCTTTCGCCCGTCCCGAAGGAGCGGCGTCAGTATCCTCTTTTGGCTTCCGCCTGCCCTCCCCCCCGTCGCCGCTGGCGCTGCTCCTGCCGCCGCCGCCGCCAGGCGCCTTGCGTTTGCCAGCACGGGGCGTGCGGCCCCTATCCTTCTCCCCTGGCCTTGGCTCGGTGGCGATCGCAAGGGCTCCCTCAGCTGTTGAGGGCACGTGTGAGCTCGAGACTGGTGAGGCCTAGGCTCGCAGGCCTCGAGGTTGACACCAACACCGATCTCGGCGGTGTGCCTCCACCGAGGGAAGAAGATCCCGATCTCGGCGATGGTGGCCACATTCTGGCGCCTCCAAGGTGGCCGAACGATTACCACCGACACCGAAGTCTGGCACCACCTCCCCCCTGGGGAGGCAGCTCCCTGTCTTGGTGCTGGTGCCCCTTTCCAGGCCTCCGATAGGTTCGCCGGCGGGAAGCTCGTCATGATATCAACGGCTTCGCGGCCTGGGTGTGGAGGCAGCTCCCTGTCTTGGTGCTGGTGCCCCTTTCCAGGCCTCCGATAGGTTCGCCGGCGGGAAGCACGTTCATGACATCCGCGGCCTCGCGGCCAGGGCTCCCGGGCCGCGGCCCCACGGACGCAGGGCGGCGCGGCGCGGCTGCCCCGCATGGGGCGGGCCCGTGGAGTCGCCCGCCTGCGAGGCCGCACCTCGGCGTCCGACGCGCAAGGCGTCCGCAACGACCAGGGGCCCTCCTCCCTCCTCCCCCTCCGCCTCCCCCTACCCCCCCCCTCCTCCCCCCACCTTCCTCCCCACTCCCCCCTCCCGCCTCCGCCCTCCCCCTCCCCTCACCCCCCACTCCTCCCCCACCCCCCTCCCCCTCCCCCTGGCCCCCCCCTCCCTCCTCCTCCTGGCCTGCCTTGCGCTAAGGGCCCTGCTGCAAGTCCCGCCGCGTCGTCGGGGGACCTCGCTTGTCCCGTGTGTGGTCTGCTTCTCCTCCTGTGTCCGCCGCCGGTTCGTGCGGAGGTGACGGGGAGTCGTCGTGGCGTCGGGGATGCAACGTGGATCCGACGTGGACGTGACGTGGATCCGGCACGGGTGCGATCGACGAGCGACGAGGTCGGACGGAGGAGGTCCTCTGAGGTACAACGCGGTCGACGCCTGGCCTGCCTCGGTTGCCAGCAGGCCAGCGAGTCCTGCACTGGCTGGCCTTCTTGTCTGGGGCATCGAGTGCGTAGGCTTAAGTCGGGCATGTCCCTCTACAGGATAAATATTCAAGCATAGTCAAAAAATAGTAAGGGGACGATTTGTTCGACTACTTTGATTTATGTTTGAAGATCATTTGATTATATTCGTCCAAACTCCGCCTGTAGGAGGACATGCCCGATCTAAGCATGTGGGAGGGGAGGGTGGAGAACGGATGAGCTCCTTCCCTTCTCCCTCTCCCCACTTGCATCGCGTTGCGCTCCGTTGGCCTGGAGGCCTTCCGTCTCGAGCCCTCGTTGCGTCCGCGCCGTGGCGAGATACACCGGTCACGTCTCCTGCTCATCGACCCCCGACCCCATTTCTTCTCGGCCGCGAGCGAGAGGAAGGAACTGAGAAGGGGCGGGTCTTCTCAGAAGGCTCTGGCCTTCTGGGAAGTTTTCTCCCGAAGACACAGACAACTTCGCAGAAGGCGCGAGGGCTTCTGAGAAGTCCCGCTGCCTTCTGAGAAGGCCTTCTCCTTGTCATTTCCCCCCATCGCTCGCCGCCGATCTTCTCTCTCTCACTCCCTTCCTGTCCTTTAGGTCCCTCTTCTCAGGGACGGGGCCGCCGTGGGGGGCAGGACCAGGCGAGGGCGCTGCTGGTGGCCGCGGACAAGGTCCGGCTGGGGCTGGCTGGCAGCGTGCGTGACTTCAGATTGAGCGAGGACCAGCTTGCCGAACATCTCTCAGGCACATGGAGTCCGCATAGGAAGGATGGGCAACCTTCCTAAGGGTATGTGCCCCTGCATCCTTGTCCCTTCGGCCCATCCTCAGCGACTTTCGCTTGCCAACCTCGTTCGAAAAACGTCCACTTGGCCCTCCAAGGCCCTTGCATCGTCACCGCGCATCCTCATGATGGGGGTCGACTGCACCGTGCAGTTGTTCGGCTCCACCGTGCTTGGCCAGGGCCATCCTGTCGTCGCGGGGGAATGCTTTGAATGCGCAATTCCAGCCTAATACGTTGTTCGGCTGCATGCTTTGGGCAGTCCTTTTTTATGTTTATTTTCGTCTTATTCTTTTTATATAGAACAAATGCTGGTTGGATGCATGACTTCTTGTTTTGTGCGTGGATGTTAGGGTTGTGGCGCGCGCTTCCTACGTGCCACAGGATCGATGCAGCGCATGCGCTTGATGCTGGTGCAGCAGAGCAAGCATCGCGGCGCGTGGCGCCCGGGTGTCATCGGAACTTGCCCGAACGGGCCGCCTTGCATTTATCTTTCTTTTAATTTAATTAAATTTTTATTGATAAGAAAAGGAGTTTTTTTCTTTTATTGTTTTTCTTTCTTGCCCGAACGGGCCGACGGAAGGACAGATGCGCGAGCCATTTTCATGCAGATCAATGTCTCAGGCGGACGAGGGATGATTGACGGCGGCATCGGGGATGATTGGCGATGTTGGGAAAAGAGACGACAGCGACAATGTAGGTTTTAGGCTTCCCCTGGGATTTATGCTTGTCAAATGCATTCGGCACTTCATTGGCAGGTGAATTGCTAGGTTCACTTCCAGGGCTTTCTTCTCTGGCATTAATACCGTATTGAATTTGCAGGTTTCATCACAGGGCGAATTCCAGTGTGTTTGCGGCCTGAATCTGAATTAGATTGTCCAGTCTCATTCCTGCGATCGTTGTTTAGCTTAATTGCCTAGTGAACGTCGGCGCTGAATTGGACTGCTGATTTCCTGGCAACGTTTGATCCTGTATCCGCAACATGAACAAAGCAGGCTCCGCTGCTGTAGGTGCCATTGCCTTGCATGGATGGCGTCTCGAATTGGAGTCGCTCGTGTCTGCCAAATTCTGGTGTGCTCTGCGGCGGTTCAGACTGGCGAGACAGAATAGGAGGCAGTCCGCGGGTGTCTCCTGGGGATCGCCAGGGACAAGCCTCGTCTGTTCTTCATTGGCATGGGCATTCGCGGATCAAGTCGCGCAGGATTCGCGAGCGCATTTCGCGGCTCCCTTCTTTTAGCAGTTGAGTCGCGATTGAACTCGTGCTCAGCATGAACGTCCAAATGGGAGCCCACATTGTCGCCGACGCTTCGCGCGTGCATTGACGTTTCAAGTATCTCTTCAGCTCATCAGCATTAGCTGCTTCAGTCTTGAGCTGATGTCCAAAACGTGTGTTCAGTTCGTTTTCTATTTGAAGGTTGGTCTTAATTTACGGATTTGTTTTTGGCGCGGGGGGTCATGGCCTTGGTGGTCACCGCCTGAAAAATGCCCGTGGTGACCAGTTCGGTTCAATGACGGAAGGCAGCCACGCTCTGATAAACATCCTTCGAAACATCAGCGCAGTGAGCGCTTTGCTTCACGTGCACGCAGATGAGCGCCGGTTGGGTGGACGATGCGCGGACATGTACTTCCAAGAATTGAACATGCCGTGGCATTGGGAAGGGGAAACGCAAGTTGGTAGATAACATTACAGCTCATACAAGAAAGCTGGTGAGACGCCATAGAGGTTTTCTTATGGTGCGTTTGAGTTGAAAGTTGCTCATGGACATACGGGATTTGGCCTGCTGTACTTGAACCGGCAAGAACATTGGGCGAGCAGGATTCGCTGTCGGAGGTCTGTTTGGGGACAACGACCGCAGACGGGTCGCGTCCTCTGGCGTCACCACGAACATATTTCTGGTCACTGGGATTCCCACCATTCTCAAGCGACATCTTTTACACATTGCGTAACTATGAACCGTACTCATGGCTCAATGGCCCGCATTGCCCCCCATCTGTGGGCAGTTTTTACATATACATCTTGTGAAACATTTAGAGAGTGCAACACGAAGTGCTCACACTCTAGTGTCATATGATGCCTTCAACTGGACAAGTTTTTAGCATGGGAAGTTGCCCTGTTCGTTTCTCTGTGCTTGAGTCAATCCTTTAGACTAGTTATGCTGCCGCGTCCGGCATTTGGGTCCGCATCCTGTACATGGTTTGGGCTGTCGGGGGAACATGTTGTTTGGTTTCATCGCAGCGCATCGCGAAACGTCGCCGCGGTTCCGGAATTTGTCTTCGGTAAGGCTGAGTTGAATTGATCGGTGTTGCGAGTCTCCCCACAAGGCCATGAGCAAACGATTGTACTGCGATTTCTTTTGAGAAAGAAGGACAGCGGGGGAGCAATGACACGTTGGCCCATTGGCCAAATCGTGCTCCTCCAATTCCATCTCCTGGTCTCCACTCTTTACCCTCCTCGGTGTCGCTTCCAATGGTCTTGTCTTCCCCTTCATCCCCCTCGCCATCCTGTTAGCCTTGACCCGTTCGACTTGTCTCCCTGATGCAGTGTCCGCGCCATCGGCTTGCCAGGGATTGCACTCCGCCTGGCCGTCCGTCCGTCGGTCTGTCGGTTTGTCTGTATCTCTAGCTCTCAGTGCTGCGGAGCTCATAGCTTGTTATCTCTGGGGCCTTGTCGGTGGCCCTTCCGAGGTTGGCGTGGAGAGAGCGCCGAAACGCGCCCCTGGGCCTGGGCCGCGTCGCCCACGCGAGGGGGAGGAGGTGGAGGAGGTGGAGGAGGAGGAGGAGAAGGAGGAGGAGGATAAGAAGGAGGACGAGGAGGATGAGGAAGAGGAGGAGGAGGAGGAGGAGGAGAAAGAGGAGGAGGAGGAGGAGGGAGGAGAGGAGGAAGATGAGGAGGAGAGGAGGAGGAGGAGGATAACAAGTAGAAGGAGGAGGAGGAAGAGGAGGAGGAAGAGGATGAGGAGGAGGAGGAGCAGGAGGAGAAAGGCGAGGAGGGAGAGAGGGAGGGAGGGAGAGAGGGAGGGAGGGAAAAGGAGAAGGAAGAGGGAGGGAGGAACAAGGAGAAGGAAGAGTATGAGGAGGAGGAGGAGGAAGAGGAGGAGGAGGAGGAGGAGGAGGAGGAGGACAAGGATTAGGAGGAGGGGGAGGAGGACGAGGTTCTCCTAACCCGTTTGACTTGCCATCTTTATGCAGTGTCCACGCCGTCGGTTTTCCAGGCATTGCACGCTGCCTGGCCGTCCGTCCGTCCGTCCGTCGGTGTGTCTGTACTTCCAGCTCTCTGTGTTGCGGCGCTCATAACTTCCTAGCTCTTGGAACTTGTCGGTGGCCCTTCCGAGGTTGGCGTGAAGCGAGCGCCGAAACGCGCCCCTGGGCCTGGGACGCGTCGGCCACCGTCGCCTTCTCCCATGTCGGTGGCCCTTCCGAGGTTGGCGTGGAGAGAGCGCCGAAACGCGCCCCTGGGCTCAGGAAGTGCGCACGGTGCAAGCCCGAGATGTTGAGCTGCGGCCCCGAGTGGGGGGGGGGACTTCTGTGCTGGGGTGGAGGCTGTGCCCTGGTGTCAACACTTGCAGGGTGGGCCCTTTTCCCAAATCCGTGCCTCGGTGCGGATCGCACGCGCGCCTCGAAGCCGACGCCTCAGACGTGTGATGGGTCGCTTCGTGGCTGCAGCTTCTCGAGGCGGGTCAGGCCGTGGCGGCGAGCACACACCCCGGGAGGCGCGAGGGGCCCCAGGATCCGGGACTCCTCCCCCTCCTCCTCCTCCTTCTCCTCCTCCTCCTCCTCCTCCCTCCTCCTCCTCCCTCCTCCCTCCTCCCTCCTCCTCCATCTCCTCCTCCCTCCTCCTCCTCCTGCTTCTTCTCCTCGTCCTCCTCCTCCTTCTCCATCCTGTTCCGTTCAAGTAACAGGGTTCGGCGCCAACGGGGCTCAGCCAGAGCGCCGGAGGTTGCGCGATCCTGCAAATCGGGCGCGTCGCAACGGGGGGGGGCCCACACGGGGGGCGAAGACAAGGGCCCGAAAGGGGGCCCTTCGGGGCCCCTTTTGGGCCCCTGTAGGGTCGTTTCCTTCACCCCCCATGTGGGAATACCACCCGCCCGAGCAAAGCTGGTGTTTGGCTGAGCCGGC